AATTCTGTACAAATTATATTTAGATTTCGGATTTAAATGACTGATAGAGTTTATTTACATTATTCTTTTGTCTTCATCTTTATTGTCATGTTCACGACGTTTCGGCTGTTGTACGCTCCGGCCTTCTTCAGGTATTTGGAATTCCGAACTGAATCCTTTATTTCGTTCATCGGCGTAGATTTTTCAAATTCCACGCGCCATGCTTCTCCCTTTAACACAACTCTTCATTTTTTTCTTTTTTTTTTTTTTGTTCACAACTGCCGTAGCCAGGTATTGAACTCACAACTTTTTGTGTCAAGTCAACGCTTTTATCCACTGAACCATGTGTGAAGAAGGCCGGAGCGTACATCGGCCGAAACGTCGTGAACATGACTATAAAGATCAGGACAACAATCCGAACAATGTAAATAATGTAAATAATTACAATAACTCATCTCAGAAATATAGACAGACCCTTAGTGGTTTTGATATGCCGCTAAATAAAAACAACCAAACCAATCAGTAAATCCAAACATATATATCTCCACTGGATGGAATCACCAATTAGCTTTATATAAGTCTTGTCAACCTACAACAAATATACAATAGCGTTCGAACCGCAAAAAAAAACCCTCTCTTTCCTGACTTAATTCGAAAAAGCAATAATAAAACAAGTATTAGCTCAGTGGCCATCACACTAAATCACAATATACGTTTCGTTCTACTTGTATTATGGAGCCAGTTAAAAGATGGAGGCCATATCAATTTAATAAGAACGCAGATGTTTTCTACGTTTGAGATAAATGAAAGAAATTAAAGGAAAAACTCTGAAAGCCCACTGGAAAGTTTAAACCAAAATAATTTTGTTCAATTGCTCTCTCGTTGCAAAATGGCCTACAAACAAAACCTCAAACGAAAATCATGTCGGACTTTTATCAAATTAAGAAGTGAATTTAATAAGATCTCAGTTGCTGTGCAAATATACTTAACAGAAAACACAAATATCCGAAGAAACCTAGTATTTATTAAATGGAAAATTCTGAACATCTTTGATTTTGTACAGTGAGAAATACGTCAGTTTAATTATTAAATTAGTGCTATAAGAGCCCAACTAGATGGGATTTATTTGTCGTTTGGCCCAAGGCATTACGTCACACACATTTTATAATTTCACTTTCTCCACTTTCAAATGCAGTATTTATACGTTTTTACCATTTAATATTTTTTTATATGATGGGAAACATTTACAAAAGGATGATAAAGCTTATAGTGAACTCTACATTACCTAGAGTAAAGACTAAGTAACAACATAAAATATGTTTTATCATCATTTCTCTTGTCAATCAGAGGTTAGCATAGAAAAACTACATTTTCTAACCAATCAGTTTTCATTACGTTCAACTCCTTCTTGGATCCACTTTATTATTACAAAAGGGTACCAAAATTGATGCTTACTGATTACTACAACAGTGAACAACTAAAAGATCATATATCTTTACCAGTATTTTCCTTGCTCGACTCAAACGCCTCTGTCTACATCATCTGCCAATTGAAATTCCCTTCATTCTATTTTTCAGTAATTCACAACTTCTGATTGCGATCACCTCTAAAAGACGCATATTAACTTCAACCACATTAACCTGATATACAAATGAATCTATCCTAACTCTAGTAAAATGGTTGTCAAAACGAGATTGTTCTTGCCAATTAATTTATTCCTTCATCATTGCTAATATGTTTTCCTACTCTTTACATTACTCCATGTTTAGGATTATCACTTCTTATTCTTTTTAGTACTGTACAGTTCTTTCTTTCTTTTTTATGTGACATGTCCTTTCAGGGCGTAGGCGATAATGGCTCTCCATTTCCCTCTATTGTTTGCAACTCTCAACATGTTCCTTCCCTCTGCCACCTCCCTCAGACTACGTTCTCTCAACCACCTGCTTAAGTCCGCCAGGTATGTCATGCGTTGTTTTCCCTTGTCTCTCTTCCCCTTTATTCGACCCATGAGTATCAGATTCTCCAGGCTTTCTTTCGTCATTATGCGTCACAGAAACTTCAGCTGCCTCTTCCTGGTGTTAAGTATAAGACTCCTCCTTATTTGCATCCTCTCTAAGACAACATCGTTGCTCATGCGCTTGGCTCATGCTATCTTTAGCATCTTTCTGTAGAAACACATCTCCGTCGCCTCGAGTCTCTTCTTCATCTTTGAGGAAATCGTCCAAAAGTAGAACAGATGTCACACAACAGCTCAGTATTCTTTTCTTTGTTACCAAAGAAATCCTCCTGTCTTGTAATACTCTGCCCAACTATTGGAATGCTTCCTTGGCCATCCCTATACGTCTACGGATCTCACTGTCGCACTTACCGTCCTCTGTCAAAATGCTTCCTAGATATTTAAACTTCCGCGTCTGATTGATTCTACTGTTCTCAACCTGCAAATTGCATTTCGGTCACATCCTTTTATTGATTATCATGCATTGTGTTTTCTTTTAGTTTATGCTTAGTCCCTTCTTCACAAGGGGTTGGGTGAAACTTGAATTTTATATGAATTTTCTAGCAGATTATCTAACTTATAACACTATCTTTTATTTGAGTGTCATCTGAGGATGAGTAACCTGAACCTTCCTCAATCTCACACGCTCGATCCATGATATCCTCAGCATCCTTCTGGATAACCACGTCTCAGTCCCCTCGAGTTACTTCTTCATCATTGAGGAAATCGTCTAAGATTCGCTGCCGTAAAGAAGAACAGATGCCACGTAACAGCTCAGTATTCTTTTCTTTGTTACCAAAGAAATCCTCCTGTCTCGCAATACTCTGCCCAGCTTTTGGAATGCGTCCTTGGCCATCCCAATACGTCTACGGATCTCAGTGTCGCACTTATCGTCTTCGTTACGTACTCGATTACCCAACACTGTACATGTACCCAGTACTGTACATGTTATGGGTTATCGGATCTTATTCTTTTTAGTATTGTACAGTTATTGATCGCTATAGATATCCCTAGGCATGGAGAGTGGGACGAGTACAATCTTCCCTGGGAGATTAAATAAAAAGATCAGTTTGAAATTACCTGAAACCTTACCAGGGTCGACAAATTAGCACGGATGGTACAACGGTTGAAACACTTTCAAAACAAAGATGGAGATATTAGATTGAATGTACCATACCAGAAATTGCCGGTTTTCTGACAAATATTAAGGCATCCTGGGTATGACGATAAACTACATCCGGCAGCAAGACCTCCGATTAAAAAGTTTTGAGGAGCGTAGAACAACGTCTTAATTGCTGTTATTCCACGCTGACCAGGAGTGGCAACATCTCTTAAGGTCTCAAATTTGGGCAAAAAGTTAACCCCCAAACTGAGGTGAAAACACTATGAAAGTATAAAAATACATTTTTATAGTAAAAATACCAGCAATACATTTTTGGAAATGAAATTACTAATGCCCCCCCCCCAAAAAAAAACTAAATTTATGCATCAAATGACCCACAAGGAGTTGATATACCGCTAAACACAGAAATAAACAAATTCACAATATGCTAAAAATCGTTATCTTTCAATAGGTTCATTTTCTGCATTTGTAAATTAAAAGATTATACATGAACTTCATCTTCTTCTATGTCCTTCAGGACGCTGACAATTATGGCTCTCCACAACTTCCTGTCCTTTGTGGCTCTTAATAAATTTTTTTTTTGTTGTCTCTTCTAAATGCTGGTTTACCATCCATTCACACAAGCTTGCAAGCTAGTTTACGCGTTGTTTTCCTCAGTCGCTATTGCCTTCATTATGTCCTGTGAGTATCAAATTTTGCAAGCCTTCTTTCCTCATTAAGTGTTTTAGAAATTTCAACTATCTTCTGTAAAGT